TGAGTTGTTTCAGTTCTGTCCCAGTGCTTTGCCATTTCCTTTTCCGGCCCATTTTACAGATGACAAACTGAGGCAAAGAGGATTAAGTGACTTGCCCCGGGTCACACAAGTGTAAGTGTCTGAGCCTGGATTTGAACAGGAAGAGGAGTCTTCCAGATTTCAAGCCTTGTGCTCTATCCACTGCGCCACCCAGCTGCCCTGCTTAGGACATAGCAAGTGTTTAATAAATACTTCTTTTTCTTTCTTCCTTATCCAGACCAAGGGAAGGGAGTGGTCAGTAACATCAGATTGATAGGGAGGTAACTCGGGACTTTCAGATTTCAAATCTGAGACTTTACAGAGAGGTCTCCTATGTCTAGTCTCTGCTTCTTTCCCAGAATATGTGATTGGGAGTTCTCTGCTGAACTTGATTTAACAAACATTTATTAAGCACCTACCCTATGCCAAGCACTGGGCTAGAAGAATGAAATTGTCCCTGACCTTAAGGAAGGGGACACAACATGTACCCAGAGAGACAAACACCAAGTGTATTTATAATATAAATTTAACACTGAGCAATTTTAAGAGGAAGAGACCATTAGTAATTGGGGATAGGGTTTGGGGAGGGGGCTCAGAAAAAGTCACCTGTAAGAGATGGTACCTGAAGTCTTAATGGAAGCTAAGGCTTCTAAGTGGCAGAAATGAAGGAGTAAATCCAGATGTGGGCAATCACCTTTGCAAAGGTCAGGAGATGGAATCTCATGAAAGGGAAATAGACAGCAGCCACTGTGATGAAAAAGGATAGTGCTTGAAAGGAATGACATGAAATAAGGTAGCTGGGAGCCAGACTTGGGGGGGCCTTCAATGACAGGTTGAATGTTTTGTATATTATACTGGAGGTCATGATTAAGAACCAGGTCACTCACAGAACCAGTAATTTCTTGGTTCTGGTCCTGCCTCTGGTATATCCTGACTGTGTGATCTTGGGCCAGGCACTCACCACTCAGTGCTCTAGGCAGCCTTTTAAGGCTCTGAGTCTACTTGCTTTGGTTAGATGGAGTTTCTTCACCTGGGAATTTCCTTTATCAATAACATCGCAGGCTCAGTGTCTGTCTCTAAAGGCAATAGAGAGCCAATGAAGATTTTTGAGTAAGAGGGTGATGTGTTTTAGGAATATCAATTTGGTAGCTGGGTGGAGAACAGATTAGGGAAGAAAACAAGGAACCAATTGGGCTGCTGTGGCTGTGGTACAAAGGAGAGGTGACAAAGGCTTGAACTGGGGTGGATGGATGAATAAGGGGGGGACCTGAGGGATGTTGTGGAGGTAGAATTGACAAAAGTTGGCAACTGATTCAATAGTGGGGATAATGGAGAGAGAAGAATGAAGGATAACCCCAACAGTTTTTGGTGATGGGGGTCTGCAGTCTGGCCCCATGCCACAATTATCTTGATCGAGTCATGCTACAGTCTTCCTCTATTGCTGATGGATCTTACCAAGTCAGGTATTCATTGAGCTAATATGGTCAGGTTCTTAGGCTTCCAAAGGACATCAGATTATCACTTAGGGAGGCGTCTAGAAGCCAGAAGTGGTGATGAAGAGGAGGGAATCCGGCTCAGCACAGAAACAGAGGAGTCCAATTTCTGGACCCTTCCAGTGGTCCAAATATGATTGTCTCCCATCCTTCGAAGACCTTACACCTGAGTGAAAAGTAAAAGTAACTGGCTGCCAGGCACCAAGACTTGGTCATTTAACACTTTTTAATTAAAAAACAAAACACTCTAGTGTTACAGGATCAGGCGAAAGTGTGTGAAACACCCGGGGTGATAACATTTGCCCCCATCCGTGTTGATCTCATCTAAACAAACAGCTGGGAGAAGGGGGCACAAGCTGAACTAGGAAGCAGATGAAGCATCCAGGCAATGGAACGTGCATGCTTTCTCTAGACCATTAAAAAAACGACAGGAAATAAACAGGCAGCCTAAAAACAACACATATCGACATCAAATAAGTTATTCTCCAGTTAACTGTTATAGAAACCATTCCAATAGGTTCTTTTAAAAATATTTTTTTGACAAGGCAATTGGGGTTAAGTGACTTGCCCAGGGTCATGCAGCTAGTAAGTGCTAAGTGTCTGAAGCCAGATTTAAATTCAGGACCTCTGACTCCAGGGCCAGTGCTCTATCCACTGCGATACCTAGCTGCCCCCAATAGGTTCTTAAAGCACAAGAGTACTTGGCTAAGCAGTACGTTAGATGAAAATCCCCACTTGCCTCTGACCTCATAAGTATAAAAGGAGATCTTAGAGCAGAAGCTATGCTCATCTTGTGGGAGAAACAAAAAGGTGGAGAAGGCACAAATGGCACCAGATCTGTATAGTTAGAAACACATTCTGATCACCAATCACAATATTTATTAAATACTTACCACAGGGCTGAGTATACAATATGACTTTAGTAGGTGATAGATGAACTGCCAGGGATTAGGCAGCCTGGTTTGGTGGATAAAGCACAGGACTTAGAGACAGGAAGACCTGGATTCAAATCTTGCCTCCTACACTTACTAGCCATGTGACCATGGGCATATAATTTAATCAATAGGTATTTATTAAGTGCCTACTATGTGCCAGGTAGGTGCTGGCATTGGGAACACAAAGACAAAAATAATGTCTGTCCTCTGGGAGCTTTCACACTTACCTTTCTGAGCCCTAATTTCCAGCTCTAGAAAATGGAAATAATACCTGGAGCCCTCACAGGGCTATTATGAGGCCCAAGTGAGATATGTATGTAAATTGATTTACAAACCATAGGACTCTATGTAAATGTTTCTTATTATTTTACTCAGACAGAGGACCTAGGTAGGCCTTGAAGGTAAGAGTCAGGATTCTAGTCCAGGGGTGGGGAACCTACAACCTTGAGGCCACATGTGGCCTTCTAGGTTCTTGGGTGTGGCCTTTTGACTGTGTCCAAGTTTTACAGAACAAATCTTTTTATTAAGGGGATTTCTTCTGTGAAGTTTGGATTCAGTCAAAGGGCCGCACTTGAGGACCTAGAAGGCCACATGTGGGCTCGAGGCTGCAGGTTCCCCACCCCTGTATATGGTACTATCTTCCTTGACGCACTTTTGAAACAAACAGAACCAACCCAACTTTGGCTTTAGATGTTACTCTCAAGAAGACAGCAGAGTTTCTCTTGGCTTTTATTTTTTACATATGAAAGAATTTTTAATCATTTTGGCCAACTAGAAAATGATGGTGAGTCTGAATGGTGTTCAAATAACAACAAACCATACCTAGAGAAAGAATTCAGACCCCATTGGGACTGTGATTAGCTGAATCATTCAGGTTTGCTAAATGCAGAGGACAGACATGGCAATTTTGGCCTAGTCATAAGACAGTTTTTACAAATCTGATTAAAGCTTAGGAAAGCCAGTGCTTGCTCAGGCACACATCTTGATAAAGAGGTCCCTTACCTGCTGAGAATAAGTGAACAATGGCAGTAGGGTGGCAAAAGCTGCTAACTTCATGCAATAGGTACAAACCTGGCTAAGGATGAATTAAAGCTATAGGCAAGGCCTCCCATCTCGAAACAGAGAGTGTCCAAGAGCAATGTTCACCTTGAACAAAGTCTGAGCTGGTAGAAAATGGGAGACTGCAAAAGTCCTATTTACAGGGATGAATAATAAAGTAAATCTGACCAGCTGAGATGGCCTGATTTTCTAGAATTGATCCAGCCCTGAATTCCACAAAGGAAAATTTATTTCTTAAAAAGCAGGTTCTACTGCATAAATATTATTCTTGAGAATGTGTATTGTTGACAAGTCCTAAGGTAAGTATGAAACCTCCCTTACAGGGAAGCATAACTTAATTCCGTTCAAATCAATATTATGTCCCAGGCACTATGGGTTACAAAGGCAAAAAAATAAAACACTCTGCCTTAAGAAGTTTACACTGTACTGGAGGACACAATATATACACAAGGAAGTAATTCCAAAGTAACAGACAGGGAGAGGGGGAGGGGGGAGCTGGGGAGAGGTTGGGAGAGTGGGGGGTGAGAGAGAGAGAGAGAGAGAGAGAGAGTGTGTGTGTGTGTGTGTGTGTGTATGTGTGTGTGTGTGTATGTGAAAAGTCCTCCTGGGGGGGGGTGGCACTGAAGGGAACCAGGGATTCTATCAGCAGAATGGAGGGATATGGTGAGAGCTCTGTGTAAAAGTGCTGAATAAATGGGAAATGCAGCTATTCTCATGATCCTTCTCCATTAAAGTGGGCTACACTTACAGAGGCCTGAACTTCAGGGCACAGGACAGGTTGCTCTTCTGGTGATGTTGGCACAGAGAACTTTGCTCAGATGGAGTACATTTTGATAACAATGCTAAGATGACAGTTCAAAAAATAATAATTTTAAAGGGGTAAAAATAAAACTACTCCTTCAACAAGCTTGTGTTTTGCCACATTTTCTTCCTGCCTGTTCACTTCAAAATAGTGTATAACCAGAAATGACCTTTGGTTTAAAATTTTATATGTATGTATTTTACATGTATATACACATACATGAGTATATATACATACATGTCAAAGCTCATGCATGTTTGTATCCATATCTGCACAGATACGTACACACAGATATATAGTAAGAATATAAGCTCCTTGAGGGCAGGTCCTTTTTCATTTTGTCTTTGTGTCTTCAGTGCGTAGTACTGTGCCTTGCACTTTGTGTTTGTGCAGACCTGAGATTTCACCTGTGTAGGCAGCATCTGGTGAGGAAACACCCAACCAATGCAGACCAGAGATTCTTCTGCAACTTACAGCCTTAAGGAGCAGCCTCAGGGCACAGGGAGGTGTCAGTTGCCCAGGATCCTGGAGCCAGTGAGTGTCAGAAGTGGGGCTGTGAGCCCAGCTATTCCTGACTCTTACTAAGCCATGCTGCCTCTTGCTTTGAATAAAACAGGTGCTTAATACTTGTTGAACTGAATGATAACTTATAAACAATTTGAAGATTATAAAAGAAGTCACTAAGAGGCCTGGTGAATTAAAAAAAACTGGTTGGATTTTATTGCTTTTTTTCTTTTTTCCTTTAATAAATACAGGTCTAGAGGGTGGGGCTCCTTCTAATTGCCAGTGGGGGCTAGAGAACCATGGGCGAATAAAAGGGGAAAAGGGGACCAGTCATCAATATATTGAATCATATGAACACATGTATGTATATGTATTTATACATATATATGTGTATGTATGTGTATGTGTGTGTATATGTATAGCTACTTCTCTTTGAGCCTCAGTTTTCTCATCTGTAAAGTGAGGGGCTTGTACTAGACGCCTCTAAAGGCCTTTCCACCTCTAAGTCGATGATGTTATGGATCCTATCTGCAGAAATGATGTATCTAACTCAACTGGTCAAACAGAATCCAAAATACTTTAACTTTGAAAGAAGCCATGGTGATCACTTTTTTTTTTGCCTCTGGGTTAATGGAATCCCAAACCCAGCCGCCCCAGATAATCAGCACATCTTTCTTGCTAAGCTACTGAGGAGGATTCTTTACCCTTTCTGACTTTTAAATTCACAAGCAAATAAGTTTAAAAAAAAAAACCAAAACAGCCACATCTGCACCCCCATCGGAGAAGAGTCATACTCCCAAATTCATGAAATGGGCCAATGTAGGCACCAAGATCCAAGAACTCAGCCCTCTAGATGATGTGGCGAAGTCCCTTCACTCTTCAGAGCCTCCAGAGCAGAACGATTCTGCTGCATTCCTGGGGTCTCACACTTTCTGGTTCCACTGTCCTACATGCATAGGCCAGGGAATCCCAGATCATTTAGTCTTTATTTCCCATGCAAGTTTTTAATAAAACTGTGAACTCTGATCATTGTATCCAAATTTTTAAAAAAAGCGGTTATCAATTTGACACCACTAAAATGAGTTCATCTGGAGATATTTTCAGGAAATTTACCCTCCTGGTTCTACCATAAAAGTTCCTTTTTCCTTGCTTTCCTACAAGGATGACTCATAAGCCTCTGGGCGGAGTTACCATGTGCTTTTTGAGGGAGTCTTTTGTGGGGGAGAGGGTGATTCCAAGTTATTCCATGATATCTTCTAGCTCCTTCTTTTCCAGTAAAGGTATATCGTTGTCTCCATTCCCTTTGACCTCTACTGATTTGGGATGAGAGAAAGTATAAGGTTCCCCATCAGACTCAGGAAGGAAGAATGGGAGAGGGTCCTCCGGGTGTAGTTTCCTTGTAGAGATCCTGGAGCAGATGGGAGGTGGGGAAGGAGGTATATCCCCCATGGGGCCCTGGAAGGGTCGATACACATCCACTTCCGGACCGGTGAAGGACCCATTTGAGACATTGAGCAAATGCCCATACACCATGGTGTCATCGATGACTGCGTAGACGTGGGAGTCATTGTCTTTGCGCCCTTTGTGGAACTTCCCGGTCTTCTCGGGCATCTGAGTGTTGATATTGCCATTGTATATGCCCACTGCAGGGCCTTTGCCAACCTTCTTTTTCTTACTAGAAGATAAAGAATAAAACAAAGTGAGATAAAAACAATCACTTTCCTGCAGTTATTCACGTGATGGTCTGCCCATGTCTGGTACTATTAAACACTCAATAGGAATCACTTTTTGTCATCAGGAACAGTTTTTAAAGGGGAAACCAAAAGAGGGGAAGGCCTTAAGTAACAGAGGGATAAATAGGTGTTTGGTTCATAGGTATCATTACTGGGGACATTGGGGATCCTGTTTGCAGATAATATTGGGCTTATTGTATCAAGACCTGGAGCACTACAAAGCTTCCTGGAAGAGAACTGGAATCACTTAAGAGGGATTGCCTGATCATCCACACAGGAAAGACCAAGTAGATAAACAATGCCTAGCTCGTAAATTACAATATGCATTTATTTAGATAACCTATAAAGTTTGCTCAATATCACATATATCTCAGATAGGAGCTTGAGGTGGACAAGTTGGGCCCAGAACAAGAGGAAGAAAGTGGGCTAGACTGCCTTTGGGAAATTTCAAATCTCTTCATGACCCCAAGCTTCCCATGGAAGCAAGGACTGGCTTTTAAATACCATTATTCTACTGATGTTTCTATATGACAATGAAACATAGAATAAAATAGTGTCCAAAGATTTAAAAATGCATATTACCTAGAAGGTAATGAAAAGGCACACAGAGGTGTGAACGGGCTATAACATATAAGTGAAGGTGAACATCAAGGAACTGTGTGACAGGGAGAAAAGTTGGGCTGGTTATGTGGTGAAGGAAAGGGATGATAAGTACACAACGCAGAGTGCTGCATTCAGTACCCTCCTGCTATCAGAAGAAAGTAAGGAAAAGCTCTAATGTGTTGGGAAGACCCATTGTGGCAAACTTATGGGAGGTCATGGACAAGAGTCACATAGGATGTGCAGGCATGGGTAATATTGGCAGAAACTTCCAAATTGACGCGATCACAGATCAATTTGAGCATGAAGCATGTGCTTAAATTACATGTGGTACACTCTTTGATGACATAACCAATACTCTATGGTTAACATTTCTAAGGATACTTCTGCCTCCATCTGAACAGAGAGGTGAGATGATGTAATTCTTCTAGAGAATATTATGTTTAAGACTTCTGTGAATCTTTTCATGAAGACTTGGTACTTTCATGTGTATAATGCTAACTTCCTTTGAATCAATCAAGGGTCTTGGACGCTGGACTTCAAATGACAAGTCGTAAGGCTCAGGAAGGAAAGTTTTGCCTTTGTTTTGGGGGTCAAGGGAGATGGGGCGTGGAGGTCTCAAGACTAGAGATTTACATTCCATTGTTGGCAACCTCTAATGACCCAAGAGAAGCAAAAAAGGAGAAATTCTAGTTCTCTTGTCAAAAACTCTTAATGACAACATTAACACTCAATTTTTATTGCTGAATTTTTCTCTGTGGCTTTAATTGGATGTGGAAGTATGCAAAAAAAAAAATTTCAACATTGGAAGAAAGCTGCCCCTTTGACATTGTGAGAGCCATCTAGAGGAGGAAATTAACTTTTAAGCCTATCAGTAACTGAAATGACTGAAATTATCTGATCATAGGCTGTAGGAGTTATCTCTTCATTTACTGTGGGCTGGGTACCCTTGTCCCTTACAGAGGCAGAATAAATCCATTTCATTTAGCTATTAACATTGTGCTTTAGACCAAAAGGAAGTCCTCCAAAGGCTCCAGTCTAAGTGTCATAGTGGGTGGTTGTTTTCTCCTTCTTTCAGTTCTAGAACAAATCCATCCCAGACACAGGTAAGGGCTTTAATAGTTCTCTTCAATGGACCTTCAACCATAGATAGGAAATTGATAGCAAAACCGAGTGAGCTATATTCATAAATAATTAGCTGCTAACTTTACAAGCTTTTGGGTCATGGAAAGAGAACTCATTGTACTTTTCCCCCATCACACTTGGTTTGGACCTCTTTTAGGGCTCTATATCCCTCTATCGTCCCTTCTAGATATAGCTCTGTGTTATCCCTTTTACTAGCTTTTTTTTTTCAATTAACAAGCATTTATTTTCTCTCCCTCCCTCCTCTCCCCACTGGATTAGAACATCCTCGTAGATAGGGACTGGGTCCTAACTCATCTTCACATGCCTCCTCCCTAATATCTTGTATGTAATAGGTACTCAATGACTATTTGTGAATTTTAATCGAAGCACACCACCAGGCCAAACATGGATCTATGCTAGATTAAATAGCATGGTACAGTGGCAAAAGCAATGGACTTGGGATTAGAGGGCCTGGATTCTAATTCTGACTGATGTGTGTAACCCTGCACAAACCACTTCACTTAGTACAGAACCATAGATTTAGAACCAGGATGAGCAAAAGAGACTAGTGCAGGGGTGGGGAACCTTCTCTTTATACAAATGAGGAATCTGAGACCCACAGAAATTAGGTTATTTGTCCAGGGTCATAAAACTGGTAAGTGCCTGAGGTGGAATTTGAACCCAGCTCTTTCTGATTCCAAGTCTAGCATTCTATCCCCTACTTCAGGTTGTCTCTCTGGGTCTCTGTTTCCTCATCTATAAAATGACAGGTTTGGACTGGATGAATGTTGAGTTCCATTAAAGCTCTACATCTTTGATCTTGTGAATCTTAGCTTCTTCTATTGGAATATTAATTTAATATAATTTTTCCAGATCAGACCTGAACATTCTGTGTACTGTAGGGGACATAAGTCTACAGAGGAAAACAATCATAAAAATAATAATAATAAAAAAAATAGTCAGTTTCCTTAAATGTGTTGTTTCACACCAACCCACATTTCACTAAGGGGAAAAAATTCCACTGGGATTCTCATTGTCCATTTTCACATTATTAGTTGAGAATTTTTTTTGACAGTTCTCATCCCAGATTAGTCATTTCAGTTGTTTATTCAGGGTCACAACACCAGTTTTCAAAAAATTGTCTTTTGGCTTCCTGGAAGGACAGATCATCCTAAAGAAACAGATTTTGCTTCCGGTTTTGGGCTCGCACAGAAATCTGAATTTACATGATTTGGCTCCATTGAACATTTTTTCAGGCTGAAGCTATTTTTTCTCTCATAAAAGGAAAAGCTGTCATTTTGAGGGAGTAGGAGGCTAAGACTGACTCAGTCAACTGTGTCTTCCTTCTTTGGTCCACAGCCAGTGACCTAAACCAATTTTAGGCTTGAGGGCTCAATAAAGTGAGCAGTTAACAGCTATTCTATATCAGGGGTCAGAGTATTTGTTAGTACAAAGGGGATTGGCTAGCTTCAAAGTCAAGGTCCAAGAGAATGAACACCTTGAAATAAGTTTGTGAAGACTACTAAGAACATGGGGTAACTATAACTGATAAAGGTGTGTGGGAGGCCAAATCTACCAGCTGGCTTTAGGGGAAAATGGCGAAACCTTTTCTTCTAGCATCCTTTTCCCCACTTACCTCTGCAGGCTCCACTTGGCAGCCTCTACTCCTACTCTCTAGTTTCCAGTTCAATTTTTGGTAGGGAAGGATGACAAAATAATACGAGGGAAAATTGTTGGGTTGGGTGATCCAAAGGGATGTCAAGCTAAGCAAAGTAACTGGTGGAGAAATTGAACCTACCTCTTTTTGGCATAACAAATGAGGAGCCCCAGAGCAAAGAGGAGTGTTGCTCCACCACCCACAGCAGCAAGGATGATCACCGTCATGTCTGTCACCAGAGAGAAGAGAGAGACAGAGACACATATTCAATGGATTAGGCCAGTGTTGGACTGAACTATGGCGGTTTGGATACCTACCATCCACTCCAAAAAGAGACAGATGCTTGGGACATCTTAGATACTGCATCCCCACCCACAGTAGGAGATCTTGAATAAGAAGCTTTAGGAAGTCAAGAAGAGAGGCTCAGAAGTGAAGAAAGGGTTGTGAGAGTGATGTCCACTTTGTGTAACTGAATAAAGAGAAATGAGAAGAAATCACAGAGGAAAGTCATGCACTAAACTAAAACTTAAAGAGTTTTTTTTCTTGTTTACCAATCCAACAAGCTACTATGTTCTAGATGCTGTTAAAATGCTGGAGAAAAAAAATACAACAAAAGATGAATGTTAGATAAAAAAAAAAGTAGAAATGAGAGAAAGAAAAACCATAACAAATCAATGGAAAACCCAGGAGCTAATCTGATGGTATAAAGGGGCTCTTATTCATTTGGTTTGTCATACTGTCTGTGAACCATAGCAAAGTTCCCTTCCTTCCTGGCCTCAGTTTCCTCATCTATAAAATGAAGGTATTGGACTAAATCAGGGTTTCTTAATCTTTTTTTGTGTCATGGACCCCTTTGGAAGTCTGGTGAAGTCTATGGATTGTTTCTTAGGATAATGTTTTTAAATGCATAAAATGAAACACATAGGAATACAAAGGAAACCAATTACATTAAAATGCAGTTATTTAAATATTTGAAAAAGCAACTTCATGGACATCGGGTTCAGAACCTATGGAATAGATGAACGCTCCCTAAAGTCTCTTCTAACTTTAAAAATCCTTTGATTCTAAGTCATTTATACTCTTTGAGCTTCAGTTTTCTCTTCTATAGAATGAGGGGGTTGAAGTGAATAAAACAAAATTTATTAAGTGCTTACTACATGTCAGGCACTATGCTAAGTGCTAGGGGTACAAGTACAAGAAAACAAGACAGTCCTTGCGTCGATGAGCCCCAAGATTCTTTCTTCCTCTAAGATTCTATGATTTTCTTTGGCACATTCTTGACTGCTTGATCTCTGGAAGCCAAGATGGGTCATGAGGTGAATCCAAGACTGGACAAGCTCTGTTATGTACTTGATGGTTTTTTTCATTGCTTCTGTAACTTTGAACTACTTGTTGAACCCTGATTTCTGTTGTAATTGCAAAATGTCAAAGTGCTGACATCCTTTCCTTTCCATTTCTACTCTAATCCAGACCCTTATTACCTCTTGTGCAACAAGCTCCTAACTGGTGTTACCACATTTAGCCTCGCCCCTTTTAATTCATTCTCTATGCCCCTGCCAGATTAATCATCCTAATGACCAGCTTCAATCATGTCACACCTGCGCCTTAAGAACCTTCAGTAGCTTCTCATTGCCTAATGAGCTCAGTTTCTTAGCTTTATCTTTACTTGTGATGATCAGATGAGTAGCATATGCAAAGAGTTTTGTAAACATTAAAGGGTTATTGGAAAGCTTAATAATAACAACAATAATAATAGTTATAACTCTCTTCAATGACCTTCCAGGCATCTTTCCAGTCATATCTTTTACTCTTCTCCTACAGGTGTCCTACACACCAGACAAAATGGACACGTTCACTCATTCTTTGAATACAACCTTCATACACTTTTCCACTTATATGATTTTGTTCTTTGTGTGGAATGCTCCCTTCTCTCATAATCTCTTATAATTGAAATCTCATTTGTTTTTCAAGTCCCACCTTAAAGACTACCTCCATCAAGGAGTATCTTTTGATACCCACAAATTAATACTTTCTCTGAATCCTCTCTGGCATTAACCACATCCTGCCTTCTATTATAGTTTTTTGTACACTTGTTTTATTCTCCTCACTAGATCATGAGCTTCATGAAGGCAGGGACTGTGCCTTATTCATTCCTGTATAGCTGGCAGGGTCTAAGCACATAAGCAATCAATCAATATTGACTGAACTTACAGGATCACAGATGTTGAAGTGTAAGGGGCCTGAGAGGTCATATTGTCCAATCCCCTCATGTTATAAGATTGAGAAACTGAAGCCTCTAGTAAAGTGACTTGCTCAAGGAAAGACAGCTAATTAAATGGCAGAACCAGGGAATCAAACCCAAGTCTTCTGATACCAAACATTGAGCTCTTTCCATCGTACATGATGTTTTTCTACCCTCACCTTCAGTAGAATGCAATCACCTTGAAAGGGAAGACTGTCTTATTTCTGTGTCTATATCCCCAGCACTAAGCATAGTGCTTGGTGTTTCATAAATGCTTTTTAATTATGCTTTACTGTCTTAAAGTGAATTGTAATGAGATTCCCTCTCCAAATGAGGCAGATGTAGACAACTTCAAGGATTAGTAAAAATGCTCCATTCCTTCAGCTTGACCTTGAGAATATACTTAAAGCACTTTCTCCTTCATTTGTTCAGGGGAAAAAAAGTCTCAAATCATAACTGTGCATCACCTAGATGTGCCTGTTGCTAAGAACCTTGTGAGTGCATTGGCAGAATCTTGCTGTAGTTAGTGTTGATGAGGTCTCTAGCATTTTGAAATGTTATATATCTACCACCCTTAGCACTCTGGGATTGGAGGGTTGCTGGTTTTTTTGTTTTCGTTTTTTTGTTTGTTTGTTTGTTTGTTTTACAAATGCCCACTGGACTAGAATTGACTTCAGCCTTAATGTGATTTTCAAACCTTTGATTTCTCAGGTCACATGGGCCTTGATGTTGAATTTTATTGTGACTTGGTCTGCTTTTTGTGAAAGATGATTTCTGGCAAAGAAAAATGCTAAAACCCCCTAGGATTCTGGTCCTTAATGAAATGGTCACAACTCCTAGGCCAGTAAGAACACACTGGCAATTATCTGTCTCTGCTGGCTCATAAGCGCTTGACAAACACACTCATCTCCACATAGAAATGGGCTTGTGTCAAGGTGTTAATTGAGCTGCAGATGAATGCATCAGGAAGTAGAAAGACAAAGTACTAGGGAGAATTTTGTTTGGGAAATTTTTGTTCTGTGTGAAGAAGTGTCTTGGGATGAAATTTCATTCTCCAAAGGAATAATTATCTCGTATGTATTTAGTGTTCCTTCATATCCTCCCACACAGCCAACATCCTTGTTCAAGACCCCACTTCTCACCTGGGCCATTACAAGAGCTTCCCAATAGATTTCTCTGCCTTTAATCTCCCTTCTTTAATCCATCCTGCACACAGCTGCTAAATTGGTATTCCCAAAACACAAGTCTCATCATTTCACTACCCTCCTCAAGAAGCTTCAGCTGCTCCATGTTCCTTTTAAGATAAATTACAAACTCTTAAGTTTGGTACATATAGGAATATTTTCACAATCTGGCTTTAGCTTATTTTTCCAGGCTAATCAGTCCCCTCATGTACCATAGCTTCAAGCCAAAATGGCCTCTTTGATTCTCCATGCATGACATTCCACCTCCCATGTCTGGGCCTTTGCAAAGCTGTCCCCACATGACTGGAATGTTCTTCCTCCCCACCTCTACTTCTAAGAATGTTTAGCTTTCCTCAAAGTTCGACTCAAATACCTCCTCCTACAAGATGCCTTTCCTTGTCTGTCCTGTTGTTGAGGAGGAAGACAGGTAGGGCCCATTACTTTGTATATATTCATTAACTGATCTATGTATGTGTAATTTCCCCCAGTAGAATGTAAGCCCTTTGAGGACAGGGGCTTTTTCAGTTTTTGTCTGTTTCCCCATTGTTTAGTATAATGCATTTCACATAGGAGCTAAATAGACCCTCAGTTATCTATATCTATAGATATATCATATATACATATATTTCTTGTGCCTTTGTCACAGGGATAGGCATTGTACCCATGAATGCATTGTCCCAGATGAGGAAACACCCTGCAGGTTTGCATTTCCTCTGTAATTTATAGTCTCTCTCTCTTTTTTTTCTTTTGGCTAGGTAGTGGGGTTAAGTGACTTGCCCAGGATCACACAGCTAGTAAGTGTTATGTATCTGAGGCCGGATTTGAACTCAGGTCCTCCTGAATCCAGGGCCGGTACTCTATCCGCTGCACCACCTAGCTGCCCCTGCAATTTATAGTCTTAAAAGTCACCTAGAACATTGAGAGTTTAAGTGACTTGCCCAAGGTCATACAGCCAGTAGATGTCAGGTACAGGTCTTAAACCCAGTCTTACTGATTCCATAGCCAAATCTCAATCTGCTATGCTACAAGGTCTTGTGCATTTATTGTGGAAATAATAATACTTCTCTGGTCCAAATCTTCTAATAGTATGAATCATCAAGAATTTATTAAGCACCTATTATGTGCTAGGCACTGGGAACACCAAGATAAAAGTAAAATAGTCCCTGCCCTCAAGAAGCTTACATTCTAGTATAACTTCTTTGGACAAAGATTTTACATTTAGAAGAACTATAGTTAATGTTTACAGAGGGTCTAAAAACTGTGATTCTTAGCACTCCCTGACACAGAGACTGATGTGAATGTACAGTTCACTCACCAACCAGCTTAGACTAAAACAGCAACAACAATGTTGAGAAGATAGAAGCAAGGTCAGGTATTAAAGATAAATAGAAGCACCTGGCATGCTACTGCTAAAATACTGTCCAGAATGCAAAAGCTCAGAATGAACTGAGACTAGCAAAGGAAGCTAGGACGGGAACAGAAATGATTTTTTAAAAATCGATGTTGGGAGAAAAAGGAGAAGGAGCAAAGAAAGGCTGAGACCTTTGCTTGGGGTGGATGGGACCGTGACAGATGACGAGAGAGAAAAGCAAAGCTGCTGAGTCTTATGCTGTTTGTTTTCTCTGCAAAGAATTATCTTTGCACTGGGAATCGTAGCACAAAAAGGATCAACAGGAAGTTGATAAACAAAATAAGTAAGGGGATAGTGAGAGAGTACCTAGTAGGCTTGATAAATTCATATCATCTGGCCTATACATACTGCCCTCTTGGGTCCAGAAAGAACTGGCAGATGTGATTCCTTAG